ATCAAACATTGTGATAATAACAACAAAGATGGAAGAACAAGGACTGGGAGAGATAATAAAGAGAAAAACATTACTTAGAGCTACTAAGGATAGGAAGTTGTGGGGAGCCATGATCACCTATGTTTTGAACAGATACAGCCCATACAGAAAAGGAAGAAGAATGAATGTAAATAGTTTTGATTAGTTTGTTCATTTCTTTTAAACATTTCAGTTTATATTTTCAAACACAGTTAAAAAGTTGATCTTGTAATTTAACAGCCAAAGAAACACAGATGAGCTAAAAACATGAAGGGAATCAATTTTCAGCAACAAAACCAACTTACTTTCCACTGAGGAAGATGTTTCAACCGAAGTAATGAACAGTGACATCCAAGGATCCAGGCTAATTCTGAATGCTGTGGAATCTGTAAATGGAACAACATAGTTAAGTGCCAAACCAAAGTCCAAGTACAACTGATTTGCATGAAGAGCTTTCATTTAATATCCAATGCCATTTGATTGAAGGTAAATTATACTGATTAATAAAAATCAGAATCCATATTCCTACAAATTTATTTGCTATAGGCATTAACAGATAGATATGAACTGTCATAAACTGACTGACTAATATGGTAAGAAAACATTTGGCATTAATTAACTGAGCAGCCAATGATACTGTTGGTTGATATTTATAAAATCTTTCTCTTAAAACAATTTTTCAGAAAAAAAAGGTTTCTCAAGTCCAGTAACTGTTATCACTCTTTCCAGTATTGATGGGGGTTTCCTACCTAACCTTTTGTTTGAAGTGGTGTGGAATGTCAACATCTTGATTATGTCATTATTTTCTCTTCAAGTTACATGTGCTATGCATTTTAGTTGTTACCATTGCAGAAAGTCCTCAAGTGATGGGGTTTCTGTTATTTGGGACAGTGATTTGTGATTTTGTAGTGGCAATCTACAAGGTTTGAAGACAGTTGGTCCTCACTATTATTTACATATTTCACTTGATTAAAACCATTTTTAAGCATTAATCTAAGAAAGTGATTGTATAAAGCAGACAGTTTAAATATTTCTGAACAAGTTTTGCTCCATTTATTGCATCCATTAGAAAGTTTTGATCTGACAAGACTATTTAAGAATATGACTTGACTTTTTAGCAATTTGCGACAAAGGAGAAAACCAAGCCTTCGAAAAAAGAATTTGTATTCTCTGTGCTATCTGTTGAAAAACAAAATCAGAATCAAAACTGTGTCAACTTTAGTTGACCTCGAAATATAGTAACTGTTTGAGCTTCCCTACTAGTCTTGACAAATCACAACCTTTTACACCAATAAAAGCACACAATTTTGGATAACAGGAAGGGCTCTTGGTTCTTTGAGTGAAGAAGGTTGTTGTACATTATGAGTTTTGGATACTGATTTTTTCACCTTTTTTTGATTTATGAGCCTGGCATTTTCTGACTTTGGACTTGTGAGACTGATTTATGACCCTTGGAATTAGAACCAGAAATACAACCCTTGCTATTTTCTTCTGTTATTGGGTGAAACTACCCCTAGTGTAGACTATTCTATGCTCAGTTTCTTATATTAAATTTGTTACAATTCATCCATACACTGAGGTCTTTGAACTGTTTAGTATTCCACATCCTGAATTTTTATGGTGGATTCAAGGTATATACACTGTCACTGCTTTCATCCCAATTACAGATCATAGTTTCTGCTTTGGAAAGGTTTGAAAATAGATAAAGATATGCAACACATATATCTAATGAGATATCAATAGACAGTCACAGACAAACATGTGAACAGACTGCAATAGATATATTTATGCACAGGCATATGTATTTTAAACATAGTATATTTAGGCAGCAATCCATCATTGTTCTTCTTTTATGTGCTGTGCCTCTTCAAAGTATGGGCGATCATGGCTCTCTACAACTTCTTATCTTTTGTAGTTCTAAGCAATGTTTCTCTCCTATCCCTCCCAATCCCTTTTTTGCCATCTATTTACACATGCTCATTATTAGGTATGTTACTTGCTGTTTCCCTCTGTCCCTCTTGTCTACATGTCTTATGAGTGTCAAATTCTCCAAGCCATCTTTCCTCATCATGTGTCCTAAAAATTTCAACTGTCTTTCTGATTCTAACCACAAGTGACATTTTTGCTTCCATTTTTCTTAAAACTTCCTCGTTGTTCACATACAGGATGCGATGAATAAATAGTTGTCTAAATTACACAAAAATGAAAATAAAACTGACATCTCATTTTAACAGATATATTTACTAAAATTGCATGAAAATATCTTGAAATACTAAAGAGAAAATTTATTCAATAAACTCGTCATCGGCTTCAACCACGACCTCCAGATGACTTTCGAATCTCCTGCAACTCTTCTGGACAGTGTCCTTGTTTAAGTCAGTGAATGTTGCCATAATCCTTGCCTTCAGTTCATTTTTGGTGTTACAAAGAGTTTTGTTGGTCTCCCGCTTAACTGTGCCCCATGCATAATAATCAAGGGGGTTGGAGTTTGGGGTGTTAGGTGGCCAGATGTGGTATGATCACAGAAATTGTCTGACATCCATGACTGGGTTTTCCCGCTTGTGTGGCTGTTGCCAGATATGGGGTCTTCCAGCAGCTGCCCTCTTGGCCCAAGGCATTTGACATATATCTCCATGTTGAGTCTGAGGCCCTGTGGGGAAGATGATTAGAGGCATAACGTCGCTATCACTCCAAACACCATGATGTTGACTGAATATATCATCCAACTCTTTCTGAATTCTCTGCACTGTTCTCAGACTGACACCCAAACACACTGAAATGTTCATATTGGAGTTTCTGGCATGAATGCCAAGCAGTACAGCATGCTGTTTCTAAATTTCTGGTAGAGTGAATTGTGTCATGGTGCTCTTTTTCTCACAGACAGTGCCCAACTGACCCTATTATACTGTGCAGTTGACAAAATCAAAAACAAACAACACACATGCGTGAAATTAAAAATATAAAATGGCAATGATTTACTCATTGCACCCTGTAGATAGGCCGATATCTCTGTTGCCTCAAGTCTCTTCTCCATCTCTGAGAACATTCATTGCTCTGAGAGAAGTTCAATCCTTTAACATATTTTATGATTATTATTGTCCTTTTTGTTTACATTTTCTGTAAAATTTACTCACATGTTCAGTCCATGATATTCTCAGCATCCTTCTGTAGAACAACATTTCTGTTGCTTCAAGTCTCTTCTTCATCTGCGAGGAGATTGTCCAGTATTCACTGCCATATAGGATGATCAATATTACGTAACAGTTCAGTACTCTTTCCTTTGTTTCTAACAAAATTTCTGTTTCTTAATACTTTGAATAGCTTTTGGAAGTCATCTTTCACTGTCTCAATGCGTCTTCAGATTTCAGTGTTGCACTTTCTGTCCTCTGTTAAAAAACTTCCCAGATATTTAAATTTCACTGTTTCTTAATACTTTGAATAGCTTTTGGAAGGCATCTTTCACTGTCCCAATGCGCCTTCAGATTTCATTGTTGCACTTTCTCTCCTCTGTTAAAACACTTCCCAGATATTTAAATTGTTATACTTGTTTAATTTTGGCATCTCCAATTTGTAATTAGCATGTTAGCTGTCCTTTTGCTGACAACCATATATTCTGTCATTTTATATTGTTACACTTGATGATGGAATCTTTCTCTCCCAATTCATCACACTGTCTGCCTTATGTTATACTAAAATCAGAAAAGAATGTAAAAACATTTAGATTTTACTTACTTGAGATTGTTGAAATAATATACACTTATCAGGATTTATCCCACATGCCAACAAACATGCAGTCATATCGAGCAAATTGTTCCTGAAAAGAAATTTATTAAACATAGCTTCAATAAAAATTGTTCCTGAACAGTTAGAAAAAAAGTTTAAGTTAAGAAGAAGTAAATAAATTCCATTGATAGGGGTGGGGTAGTCTTATATAAACATTCGCCTTATAAGGAAACATTCAGTATTCATTGACAAAACAGTCAGTGCTACGATTGGTTGAAATTTATAAAATCTTTCTATTAAAACAATTTTTCAGAAAAAAAAAGGTTTCCCAAGTCCAGAAACTGTTATCACTCTTTTCAGTAATGCCAGAGATTTCCTTCCTAACCTTTTGTTTGAAGTAATGTGGAACGTCAACATCTTGATTATGTCATTATTTTCTCTTCGAGTTACATGTGATATTCAATTTTAGTTGTTGCTGAAAGTTCTTAAGTGATGTGGTTTCTGTTATTTGGTATAGTTCTTTGTGATTCTGTAGGTTCACAGAAGTATGATTCCTGCTATGACCTACAGGCTTTATTTGCTCAAACCACCTTTAATTATTGATCTGAGAAAAAATGGTTGTATACAGCTGACAGTTTAGTTTGATACCAAGCATGACACTTTAAGAAAGTCTTGATCTGGTGAAGCAATTTAAGAATATTACTCAAGTTTTTAGGTTAATGTTTTGGCTTTGTAGCAACTTGTGGTGTTGGATGAAACTATCCCTAGTGCAATTTCCTTACCTGCTATACTAAATTTGTCATAACTTAACTATACACTGAGGTTTTAGAAATGTTTAGTATGTACTAATTCCACATCCTGAATTTTTATGATGGATTCAGGATATGAGTCATTACTGCTTTCATTCCAATTCCAGTTCATAGTTTCAGTTTTGGAAAGATTTATCAGGAAATAACATGTCATACAGTTGTCAGCAAAAGGGACAGCACAACATGCAAATTACAAATTGGGGATGTCAAAATCAAACAGGTACAACAATTTAAATATCTGGGAAGTGTTTTAACAGAGGATGGAAAGTGTGACACTTGTATCCAAAGGTGCATTGTGAAAAAAGCGAAATAAGTCTTCCAAAACCTAAGTACAGTATTAAGAAACAGGAAAATTTTGTTAGGAACAAAGAATATACTGAATTGTTACATAATATCAGTCCTCCTATATGACAATGAATGCTGAACAATCTCCTCAACAATGAAGAAGAGACTTGAAGCAACAGAAATATGGTTCTATGAAAAGATGTTGAGGATACCATGGACTGAACATGTGAGCAGCGATGAAGTTTTAGAGAAAATGGAAACAAAATGGACACTTATACTTAACATCAGAAAGAGAAAGTTGAAATTTCTAGGGCACAGAGTAAAGAGGGCTTGGAAAATTTGATACAGACTGAAGGCAAGAATGCATAATGTATCTAATGAGCATGTATAAATTGATGGCAGAACAAGGTTTAGGGGAGATAACAAAAAGACAAGATTTACTAAAAGCTGCAAAGGACAGGAAATTGTGGAGAGCCATGTGGTTTGTTTGTTTTTTTTTTTTTTTGGCTTCATCCCAAGCAAGGCAGTAAAGCCACTGAGACACAAGGGGTTACTGGGAGTAGAAGAGTTAGAAACAGAAATATTTGCTAGGGAGTGAGAACAAAAGAAGAGTAATCAGGAGGGCAGTAGATAGTGATTGACATTGCATTTAAATTTTTACAAATAAAAGTTGGTCAGAAAGCATGGTGCTGGAAGGTAGTTCCATAAGCGAGAAGTGCAAGAAAAAAAAATTGGCCCAAATTATTTTATTTTCGGGCATTCCTTTCTTTTTCATTTTTCTTTATGCATAGAGCCTCTCCGATATTTGTTAGTTTTCATTTACAAATAAGTAGGCTCTGATCGTGCAAATTTCCAGCAATTTTTGGTCAGATTCAGTTTTTTCTTCTTCCTCTTTTTATTTGAGGGTTGCCTTCTCATTAGTTAAAAGAAGTATAGAAAAAGAAGTTTAGAGTGAGAGAGAAAATGGTTTTAAAGGAAAGTGCAAACGCCTTATTTTAGTTTGAATTCTTTTTACTTTTGGTCTTTTATTTTATTTTTATTGGGACTCACTACACTCTCATCAACGAGGCTCAATATGATCTATTGATGAAAGTGGTGATGAATCAACAAAATCTCATTCATTTGTTCATTTGTAGACATTTTTTTTCCTATTGCTGTACAAATATGCTTTCTGGTATATCCAGTACAGGAGCCATTTTAACCAAACATTTGAATTTTAGCCTATTCATTTTGATATACTTGTGGAATAATTGGCCACGTTTAAGTGCAATTGGAAAAAATGCCTAACAAACGGAATTGACAAAATTCTCAACAAACAACAAGGAAGAAAAAAGAACAGGGCAAAATAATACAAAGCAAACAATATATATGCAAGTCAAAACTAGACAAATAATGAGGCAAAATTTTCACAAAGTAAGAATCAAATGGTTATAGTGTTCTGACTTCAAGACAAGAGCAAACAAAAATATGGGAGATGAGACAAAGAATTGTCCACTTTTTGGTTAGGAAGAAATCCCAGCATACATTTGTAGGATTTGTCTATAAATTTAGGGAGGAGCTATTCTTATCAGTAATTCCTCATAGTGTGGTGAGACTGTGGCAGTATACTCCATATGGTGTGATAAAGCCTTATCCCTATGTTTGTTTAATATATAGAGCTGTAGTAGTAGTAATTAGATAATAGTTGAGAGAGGAGCTGGAGAAGAAACCTTTTCTAGTAATTCTTCTGTTCTTCCTTAAACATATATATTGTAGCCATAGTTATGTGTAATTGACAAAATTCTCAACAAGTGGAATTGACAAAGTTCTCAATAAACAATAAAAAAAGAAAAGAAAAGAACAGGGCAAAATAATACTAAGCAAACAATATATATGCAAGTTAAGACTAGATAAAGAAAAAATAATAAATCACAAAGAATTGTGTTCACATGCAAAAAGGATAGTCAAGTAGATATAGTGTTCTGACTTTAAGACTTGAAAGGTTAAAAATATGGCAAATGAGACTGACATTTGTCCATTTTTATTGGTTAGGAAGAAATCCCAGCATGCATCTGTATGCATCTGTAAATTTGGGGATGGTATGTTCTTAGAAATGGTATGTTCTGGAGGCACGGTGGAATAATGGATAGCAGCTCAAATTGAGGAATTGGAGAGATGAGTTCAAATTCCAGTTGAATCCTTTACATTCCTTTACGTACTAATACCCTTGGAAAAGGTAGGAATCCTTTTCTTCTCCCCCCAGCTATGGGTAAACAGCAGGACAGACTGGGTTCTATAGCCTTGGATGGCAACTAGTCTACCGCAGAAAGAAATGGCAACCTACTGTGGAAAAAATCTGCCTCGTCAGTCATGTATCAAAATATCCATGATTGCCTAAGTGTGTACCACACATGGCACATAACTGACTGATGTTCTTAGCAGTCATTCTGACTGATTGAAACCAACAATACTAAATAACAAAACTTTCTTTTTGGATTTAGAAATATAAATTATAGCAGGATTATTGGATATCAATATTTGGGAACAATCTTTGCAAAATTAAGCTGTTTTTTCTATAAGGTGCTGAGATACCTGCTGAATTTTTGTCTCGTCTCAGTGGAATCAAAATATTCTTTATTTGATCACATGTAGCCCACTTTAATCTAGACAATGCTTTGTCTATAAATGGACACATTTATGATTTACATTCAATATATTTAAAACTACAAGTATTGTCATGTAATTTGGGCAACATTCAATAATTATTTAACAAAATAATCAAATTTCTTTGTTTTTGCCCATTTTGTCTGTGGGCATCTAGGGTTGCTTCATTTATGAACAGGTTCATACATGGTATTCTACTATAAAGAAGTCAGAGTTTTAACAAGTTAATCAAGAAAAGGTATCTGAAAGTGATCAGTTATCAAAATTTAATATCCTTACCGAAGTTGTTCTGGAGAATAAGGTAAAGTAATGGAATGGAGGTCAACTAGGCTGAATATAACAGAGGAATATTTTTCTTGGAGGCTCACCCATTGTTTGATAGCACCAAGGTAGTTACCCAAGTGGGGGCAATTTGATGTTGGTTGGATTCCAGAGAATAAACAAACAGATTTGGAGGTAGGAGGAGATCCAGAGATCTGAAATTTAAAACAAAAATACAAAAGATTTATTGGTGTGATTTATCATTTTCATTCAAAGGTGACTCCTATATAATGGACATACAGAACCAAACAAGTTATTTTAAGTAGATTTCTTGTGTCTTTTAAACACATATCTAAGATTTAAATAATGAAAATAATTTAACAACACCCTGATTTGTATTTAATGGCCTTATAGAGCCAAAAAATTTTCAAAGATAGATTCTAAGTCTTTAAGCCATTAATGCTCATTGTAAAATCAGGTATTAATTATAAAAATTAAAAATTTGTGACCTTTTGAAATTAAAATCTTTCTTTAATAATTATAATCATTTTGCAATTTAATAAAAACAGATCCTATTAAACCATGACTGTGTTTAGTGTCTGTGAGGCAAAAAGAGAGTGTGACATAATGAGTCAAGAAGAGAGTGTGATACAGAGAGGTATTGGAGGGGGTGAGAAGTGAGGCATTAAATCATGTTTTGTGACCTGTTCTGTTGAGGACATTTCAGTATTTTTAAGAGAGATTATGTCACTTTTATTAAACCTAGCACAGCATTAAAAAGAATTATCAGTAAATCTGTGTAATTTACACAGGATTTGTTAGCATTGTATCCTTAAAGAAGGTTACAAAGAGACAAAGGTGGTACTCAAGTGAAAGGAACAGCAACACGCACATAGATGAAAGAAAGAGAGGTTTATTGTAAAAGAGAATACACTACTGAAACACAGGGAATTGGTTAGCAAGCTAGTAATTCCCAAAGCAAGGATATCTACCAACCGCCTCATATGGTCAGATGTGGCACAAGACTGAATTTAATGTGGGGTATCCGAGCCCATATCCTTGTGCAAAAATTCCCTGTAGACCCCATATAGTAGCTGTTTCCCCGAGACAAGACTCTGCCCTTCAATATAGCCTCACCTGGGGATCCTCTCTGCTTGGAGGCAAAGAGTTTGACCAGCACAGTTGGAGACGAATCTCTAATTAATTGCTGAAGCAAGGATATTTACCTTACCTCCCTGCGAGGCAGGATGTGGCACAAAGCCATTTTTTAATGCAGGGCAAAAACCAAGCCCGTATGCTCGGGCAAAAATTCCCTGTATCCATGGGGTTGGGTAGCAGTCTACCACCCCAGACAAGACTCTGCCCTTCGTCATATAAATTAGGTACACCAAAATAAATGCTTTTTTCCTGAAATGAAAGCAAAAAATCAGTGCCCAGTTTTAAAATATTTGCCAAAACTCAGGAAATTACCCAATTCAAATGAAATTTTCAGTATTTATTAATGAATGAATGTTTTATTTTTACTGAATAGATTTTTAAAAAAAACTTTTTCGATATCTTGGGCATATTTTTTAATTTGGTGGATGGGGATTGTCTAATTTTTTTAGTTCTATAAAAAAGAATCTCTGAAGATATTATTTCAGTAAAAATTTATGCAATATCACGTGTCAACATATGGAAAATTCAAAAAATAATACAATAAAGCTCAAAAAATAAAGTTTTTTGAGAATTCATGCTTGCATAATTTAATGTTTTATTAAATTAAATAATTCATCATTTTCTTTCAGAACAGATAGAAAAACTTTCAGAACAGATAGAAAAACTCTACACTTAATATATAAAAAAAAACTTATATTTTTCAGTGCAATTTTGAAATTCATCCCATTGCTGTTCCTCACAAGTTTTTCATGTTTTGAAGAATCAAAATTGTAAAGTTCAATGCAATTTTCAAATGTGAATCTTTTTTAAAAGATTGGTTGGTTGATTTTGTTTAGTAACATATCAATCTCTATGGGTTATTTAATACCAAAATCAAAATATTTTGAATGCAATTGTATGCCTTCAACTACAGATATTGCTGGTCATTTTGTTTTAAAAATGTATTGCTGGTATTTTTATGTTAAAAAAAAAATATTTTTATACCTTTCATAGTGTTTTGTTTTTGTTTGGAGTTCACTATTTACCCATAGCTGGAACCCTAACAGGTGCTACCACTCCAGGTTTGAGTAGACCTGGGAACTACAGCAATTAAGAAGTAGTTCTATGCTCCTCAAAACTTCTACCAGAGTCCTTAATACCGGATGTAGTTTATTCATTGTCATATCCAAGACTATTTTTTAAAAGAAACTTATTTTATTTTTATATAGCAACTGTTATATAATTCTGATATCTTCGACTAATTCAATATTGGAAGAGTATTATGATGATTTAATTATATTCTAATTTCATATCGCCCATGCAGTTTTTTGTGTCTTGAAAGGAAAGCACCATTTTCTGATCCATCGGAATGGTATTTTTGTTTCTGTTTTCCTGCATTAAAAAAAACAAGATTTTTAGCTAAGATTTCGGACATGTTAGAAAGGATTACTCAAAAAATACTTTGGTCTTTCCTCAAAATAATGACATAAACATCATCTAGACAATACAATTTTTTTTTTTTTAATCAAGTTTGGGGCTTTTTTTTTCATCAGGGTGCGTTTTTTTTTTTTTTTTTTTTTAGCGAAAATGGACATTCCTAAATTGTTATACAAGAATAACCAACAGTAACACTTATTTACTTAACCATAAGTTGTTATTCTAAGTTTTTATTTATTTTAAAAACAAGTCTTTGATTTATTTTTTTACTGCATAATTTCTTCCTTTCATCACTGAGAAAATTTTCGTAATTACGACGAAAGTATTACTATTTTATCTTTATTCATAAAATACATTACTCAACTGTAATTTTTCTAAAATTTACTCTTAGAATAAAATTAAAAATGTTTTGCCTTTCAACACAAATTACATTGCTTCCAAAAATATAGTGTACTATATTTTTGGAAGCAATGTCCAAAAAATAACTTCAAATTCAATTAATAAAAGTACTGTAGAGAATAAAAATTTATATTCTTTAAGGTTGAAAAAAATATTTTTAACATAAATAAAAAATTCTTGCTTGTTGCATCGCCGGTCTTCCGTTTTCTTTAGGTTTTATTTTGCATTCATTGTTGGATTTTAAAGAGAAAATTTTATTTGTTGTTTACATTTTTCGTATAATGATGGATCGATGAGTCAATTCAATGAGTGACTAAAAAACGTGCCAATGTTTCTAAAAATGACTAAGAAAATGGAAACTAATTTTACTTTTCATCCGGATTAGCTTTAAAATTTAGGTTCAAAGAAGGCATTCAAATCATTTATTACTAATAATATTATTACTCGTGTTTTGAGATTTTTTTAGAACGTCTGTGGCGGTACCTAAAATTACAATTACGTTTTCTTTCCTAGCATTTAGTGATGCAGTGATGCTACTTCTTAACTTATGAAATGTTTATCGATAGAAGTTTAAGACTGACGGCTAGAAAAAGAAAGTTAATTTATTTTTTTATACGAATTTATTGCAGCTGTGTCAACAAGTATCCATGAACCAACTCAACATATAATTTCTTGTGTTGAGTGGTCCGAAAGTCTTGTCACTGCCTACCAAAAAGTAAATAAATACAAAGCACGTAATGTACTTGATTCAGTTTATTCACTTTCATTGACGCTGTCACACATCGAGAAGGTCTTTATGAATACCATCATTTTCGTGGCACAAATTGATGCAGCGCCCCGTTCTGTGTGATATTTTACGAAGCTGTGGCTTTGTTGATTGTTGCAAAGGCTCTTCGCACGATGCCCTTCAACTGACGAGTATTCTGGTATCGTTCATGTGAAAACTCTCTCCTCGATAATCACCAACAGAGCATTGAAATAGACAATTAGGGATGACAAGACTTTCGGACCACCCTGTAAACTTCCGTTCGATCCAAAAACTAAAACAAATGTTGAAGCATGTGGTTTTTCTCTTAATGAAGAAAAAGTTTGTATCTTAACTTATGGCAAAACCTTTGATAATGAAGGATCCACTCACACTAGTAGAATAAAGTTTGGCAGTAAAAGGCAGCGAACATTTTCGAAGAGCACGAAGTTGCCGCTTGAAAACATGGGCCACATGTCGGTACGTCAAGGTCGACGCCATGTTGTTTCATAACTAAGGGGAATTACTCCAGATACTTCGTCAATTCTCTCCCTTAATTGTCGTCTTCGTTCTTTTATTATATATCGTGTCCTTTCAGGATGTGGGTGATCACGACTCTCCACAACTTCTTATCGTTTGTAACTTTTAGCAGTGTTTGTATTTTTACTATTCTTCCAGCTCTATTCTGCTATCCTCTTACTCAAGATTGTTAGGTAGATTATTCGGGTTTCCTCTGTCCCCCCTACCTTCAGTTATGTCCTGTGAATGTTAAAGTCTCCAAGCCTCCTTTCCTCATTGTGTCCTAGAGATTTCAACTGTCACTTTTTGATTCTAAGTACAAGTGTAATTTTGTTTTCATTTTCATTAAAAATTTCGCGTTGCTCATATATCCGTGATATTCTCAGCACACATCTCTTTGCAAGTTAAGATATTCTGTCTGGAGTCTGTCTTCTTACTTATTGTAGTTTAGGCGTTGCTTTTGGTTTTAATTTCCGTAATTTTATGACTGAAGGTAGTCGCTCCAAATGTTCGCATTTGGATACAATATGTGTGTAGAACGACATTCTTGAATGTTTTATTGATTTTTTTTTTAGTGGATCTGGTGGTTCGTGTCTCCTTCTCAGCTTCTTCATATTCAATTATTCACAAACATTTTGGATGCTCTTGAAACCGGGTGTTATAATTTTTGCTAATAACAACAGATATTTAACTTCCTCCTATCTTCACTCGTAACTTTTTTTACACGTGCTTTTTACAAAGCGGCGTAATCATTGTGTGTGTGTGTGTGTGTGTGTGTGTGTTGTTGCTGCCGGGCTCCGCGCATGCTCCTGTCATACTAGAAGGGAGTGACTTATTGTTGTTATGGTATTTAGTCTGATTATTTGTTGTAAAAACTTCTAAAAATTTCGATCAGTTAGTACAGGTAAGGGCACACCCGCTGCATCTCCTCCCCTGAATCTATGTTACAGGCACCCACTCTACAACATCTCAATTTTCATAAGGTCGTATTCATATAAAATACGAATTTTACAATAATGGATTCACAATAGAACAATTCAACTAGATAAATTGAAAATAAATACAATGTATTTAAACAGTACCGGGGAGAGAATTCCCGAGCTCCGGCACTCAGATTATTTTGAGCCAAGGTCGGCGAAACAAACTCGATCTTTACGTGTCTTACAAGACGTTTTAAAGAGTGCGTCTTACTTGGCAACCCTTGCGATCGAATGTAATTTAATTTTAGCACGAGAATTAGACTTTGAGCCTTTTAAGCTGCTTTGGAACTGGTTTTAGTCTTGTTTTTTTTTTTTTTTTTTTTTTCTTCAATAAAATCCCGATTCGTAATTTCACTCTCTACTTTTTGTAAAGAAGCCCCCCCCCGGCAACCCCTAAAGGTATTTTCTTGAGGACCCTCGGATTTCGAAGCCTGGCACATTTGTGCCTGCTGTCCCCCTTCTCGCCGCCACTGTATTTAAATACAAATGTCATACTAGATCCATCTTACTTATTATAAAATGCAGATTGTGTGTGTGTGAGTTTGTGTGTGTGTGTGTGTGTGTGTGTGTGTGTACGTTTATATATTGGATCGGATTTCCTACATTTTTCAACCGATTTCAACAAAACTTCACAGGACTATGTAAAATTACCTTGCGGTGGTTCTGACAGCGCCCCAAATTGGAAAAAGACAATTGTTTTTGCACGAAACCAATTTGAAAACACGATAAAACACGAGTCTGTCGCCGGAATGAAAGGGGAACAACTCATATCGAGTTATACTTATAAAACCCAGGTTGTGTGTGTGTGTGTGTGTGTGTTCCTTTATATATGGGATCGGATTTCCTACATTTTTCAACCAATTTCAACAAAACTTCACTTTTTTTTTGGCAGGTAGTGTTTCTTGTCTTGCACACTTTTTTCTTTATTTTTACATTCAGAATGCTTTAAAAGTTCCATTTACAAAACAATTGTATTTACAAGACAATTCTATTCAATCGATAGACTCATAACGATTGAAAACAATGTTTTTGTTTCAGTTTGGGTTTGACCAATTCGTAAAAAAAAAATAAAAATAAAAACTAATTAAGACATGCGTGTCCGTCAACCTTAAACAATAATCTTTGTCAATTTTATTTTTCAGTTTTTATGATGGTCGATACTTGATCTATCTCTTACTGTTACATCCCCGGGCAACGTTGGGCTCTACTGCTAGTCTGAAATAAATCAACAATGTTTTGCGGCAATTTTTAACATCGACTTGAGATTTTTCTTGTTAAAAAGTTGAATAATTTTAACACATTCAACATTATGGATGAAAAATAGTGAATTATATAATAATAATTTATCTTTCCACGCTAAGCCCAGTGGAACATATAGTGTTTTTCGAGACTTCGCACGAGCAAAACAAATTCACATACTTGGACTAAAAAAAAAAGAAGTAAAAAGACCGCAGAATGAAGTCCAAATCGGCGAAAACTTTCAATCTATTAATAGTCAGTCATGTTTAGTTTTAATTTGCAACGTATATAAATGCAGATAGAAAAAAAGTAAAGACTGATAAAACAGGGAGGGACACAAAGCACTGCTCGGGGCCCCAATCAGACTTGCACCACCCACAGTCGGTTGGTTCGGGGTCATACGCGCCGGCCCCGGAGAAGCGAAGGAATCAAACCCTCGGCCCCAAGAAAGTAAACTAAAGGGAAGAAGAAAAAAAAAAAAAAAGAGCAGACGGAGATAGTTGTCAGGCCAAACATTTCGCTACAAATTATTGTTCTGTGGTATTTTGATCCCAGCATAAACAGTTAAGTCAGACGGCTGAGCTGACCAAATTCGTCTTCGCTTTTGAGAGTTACCTTGATTTCAATTTCTTAATTTTGACTTTTTTTTTTTATTTAATTCGTTATTTTCTTTTGGTAATGTTGAATAAAATGAAAAAAAAATGTAGAAACTTGTAAAAATTTACTTTTGGTAGCATTGGTATGTAAAGAAACTTTTATTTTATTAAATTCTAAAACATTTATGTCTCCCCTCACACTTAAAAGATAAAAAAAAATAAAAACTTTATTTTCCATTTTCTCATTTAGATAGTGCCCAACGAGACTTTAACTAAGTTACACATTTATACATCCATTATAGTCCTCTTGCTTGTCAAATAACCCGTAAATCTGCAGTGAGTCCCGATAAAAATAAAATTAAATATAAAAATAATATATAAAACAAAAATAAAAAGAATTAAAATTAAAATAAGCCATTTGCGCTTTTTTTAAAACCCCTTATCTCTTTCTTTTTCTCTCTCTGTTTCTCTCTATATATACTTTTCTCTCAACTAGTGAGAAGGCAACCCTAAAATAAAAAAAAGAGGAAGAAGGAAAAACTTAACCCTGACGAAAAACGGTGGAAGTTTGCTGGACCAGAGTTCAGCCATTTGTGACTAAAAACTACCAAAAATCAGGGAGGCTCCAAACATAACATCCGCTTTAAAAAAAAAAATGAAAGAAACGCTGGAAAATAAAATAATTTTGGCCAATTAAATTAACACAAAGAGACTTTTGATGTTAGCCGAAACCAATGTTCACACCAGAGTTTGGGAGTCTGGTCAAAAGGATATAAGCTCCCAGCACTGAGCTAGACGAGGAGAGGGACGGTAAGAGAAACCATGGAACAAGAGAAACCAGCCATGCGTTACGCGTGAAGTAGTTAAGAGGTCATCTGCTAATAATAATTCTGCTCTTCTTAGGTCCGAGAAAAACACAGTAGATTAAGGCTGACCTATTTCTAAAAGGTCTACTACTACTAGCAAGTTCTGACCGTGAAACTACATACTACCTATCCGAAACGGAATTTTTCCGGACTGCTACTAATATCCGCATCATAAACGAACATTTTTCTACACCGAATATCAAAGGACTATTTAATCCAGCTACTTGATGCACGTACTACTTGAGAGTGTGGCTGCTTCGCTACCTAGTCTTCACCTATTTTAAAATTTCGGTATATCTAACTATGTCTAAATCAAATTCAAATAGAAGATACAAACTCAATTCCACAAAAACAAAAGTAGATCCCAGATCCTGAGTATGACGATAAACTGCATCCGCGTCCTGGGTAAGACGATAAAGTACATCCAACAGCAAGGCCTCTGATCAGAAGGGTTTGAGGAGCGTGGAACCACCTCTTAATTGCCGGTGTTCCCAGGTCCACCCTGACCCGAGAAGGTAGCACCTGTTAGGGCCCCAGCTATAGGCAAATAGTTAACCCTCGAACTGGGGTCAAAACACTATGAAAGTGTAAAAATAGGTTTTAATACCAGAAATACGTTGTAAAAAAACTATTACCAGCAATACATTTGTGAAGAAAAAAAAATATTACTAGCAATACATTTTTGAAGGAAAATATTACTTGCAATAAAAATTGTCGGCATTAAATAACCCATTGTGGTTGGTATGCTGTAAAACAAAACAAACCAAACGAAGTCTTTTGTAAAAAAAATATTACCAGCAATAAATTTTTGAAGAAAAAAATTATTACCAACAATTTATTATTACCAGCTATACATTTTGGAAAAAAAATTACTTTTTGAAAAATAATATTACCAGCGATACATTTTTGAAGAAAAAATATTACTAGAAATAGATTTTTGAAGGAAAAAAAGTATTATCAACAATACATTTTTGAAAAAAAATATATTACTGGAAATAAAAATTATCGACATTAAATAACCCATTGAGGTTGATACGCCGTAAACAAAACAAACAAAAAGTAAATCCCAAGTTTACCCACAGGATAATGGAATTGTAATGTAGCTGAGAGAATTGATGATATCCTCTCTGAGCATGTCTCAATTAACATTCATATTTGTAGTGACTGCAGTATTAACCACGAGGATTGGTTATTCCACTCAATCAGACTTCTCTAGATTGATTATGGCATGACCCAGATCGTTGATAAGACCATTTATATTCCTGACACAACGGGACATCACGCAAATCTTCTAGACCCTT